CAAGTATGTACATTTTATTTCTGTATTCAAAAAGATCACACCCCAATTTGTACCAAGCAGCGTTCGAAAATAAACATTATGGTACCGTTCCATAGTGTTCTGTACCGTACCAAGTGTACCGTAGTGGTACACTTTTAGTGTACCGGCAGTGGTACACTAAAAATCGTAGTGTACCGACTGCGGTACATTAAAAATCGTTGTGTTCCACTGGACGGAACATTAAAAATGTTAGTGTTCCGCTGGTCGGAACACTAAAAATCTTAGTGTTCCACTTGCCGGAACACTAAAAATCGTAGTGTTCCACTGGTCGGAACAATACAAATCGTAGCGTTCCACTTACTTGAACTGTACTGGTAGTGTACCATACATGTCTGTCTTTTTAAAGTAAAATTAAATCAAATAATAAAAAAAATAAAAGTTAATATAACTTTATTTGCAATTACAAAAGTGGAAATATCCATTTGAAATAGGTATTTTGGCCAGTTTCTGTGACAAAAGTATACAGCTTTGGATAAAATTTTCATTAATTTACACAACGAACATGATTTTTTCCATAATATTGGGAGATCTCCTTGTAAAATGTTAGTACGAAAAATATTTTCTTAAAACAATTATACCTCCATCCATCTATGATTCATTCTTTTAGGAAATTTTAGCAAAAATATTCAAAATTTGGTGATTGTCACACAATCAACATAATTATTACCTGCTTATTCATTAAAAGAAATGTACAAATTATGCGGATATGAAAAACATATTTTTATGATTTTGGATAAATATTACAAAACCACATATTCTTTATGATTTTTGCACAGGTAGTCTTATGCAATACATTTTTCGGATCAGCGCAATCGATTATCAGCCAAAATGTAATCCGAGGGAATTTTCAGTGGCGGGTTTGCATCAGATTGTATTTTCACTAGAGACCTTTTTTAGTTATAAAATATTTATTATGTTAAACTGTTGATGCTAATAAAATATTATTCATACAAAAAATAAAATATAATAAATACATCTTTTTGTGTTCCGACAAATGGAACACTACGATTTTAAGTGTTCCGCCAAGTGGAACACTACGATTTTTAGTGTTCCGCCAAATGGAACACTACGATTTTTAGTGTTCCGGCCAGTGGAACACTACGACTTTTAGTGTTCCGGCAAGTGGAACACTACGATTTTTAGTGTTCCGACCGCGGTACGCTACGTTTTTTTAGTGTTCCGACGGCGGTACACTATATTTTTTTAGTGTTCCGACGGCGGTACACTACGATTTTTAGTGCTCCGACTGCGGTACACTACGAATTTCGTTGTGCTCCGGAACAGTAACACTAAAATATTTTTTAATGTTTGTGTACCGGAACACTAACGCTAAAAATTTTTTAGTGTTTGTGTTCCTGGAACGGTTTTTTTGCGAACACTGGTACCAAGGAATATCTACAATTTCATGCGGCATTAGTTCAGGTCTAGTATTCGAATTTTTGTATTTCATACACACCTCGCAGTTTGATACCAGATTTTCAATCTCACTATTTATATTGGGCCAGTATACAGACTGACGCGCCAAATTTTGACATCTTGATACTCCCATATGCCCTTCATGAACCTTATGCAATACCTTTCTTCGCAAATTTTTTGGTATCACAACCTGATTATTTTTTAATAATATGTCATTTAGTATTGTAAGTTCCTCTCGTATCTTAAAGTATGGCATAACATCCTGGTCCAAATCATTTCTACTCTTTGGCCATCCTTTCTTTACATATTCAAATAATTTTAAAATAGTTTCGTCCGTCTTACTTTCTTTCCTAACTAACTCCATGTCCGCAAATGAACTCTAGATTCGAATATACAAAATTACAGTGATGTGATACTTCTTCTATTGAGTATATACAACCAAAGTGAATCCATTTATTCTGTCATGGTATAATAATAGAAGGTAACAGCAAGTGTTGTTGTACAAAAAACGATACAACAACCACATGGAAATTTGTTGTTGTAAGTTCGACAGAAAAATGTAAATAAGCAAACAAATTATCATCAAATTATTTTTATTTTGAAAATGAAATTTTTTCGAATCCTCAAAATAAAAATTGAAAATCATGAATGAAAATCTATCAAATTTATATTTCTATCTATTCCACATCTTTCCTATAATTGAGCCATTGCCATATATATGTGTAACACATGAAAATGCTGGGAATAGCGAGTTATTCCTTGAAGAAAGATTTGCTTCCTCAAACTTTCCCAGCAGGCAGATTGAGTAAATTGAATACAGGAGCACATTTAATAAAGAACAATTTCAAATTGTATGCGTTCCCAATTTTCCTGTTGGGTGATTTTTAAAAACATAATTTGTCAAATTCATATTGACACTAGTATAACGTTGGAATCAAATCAGCTGGGATTTTCTGTTACCTTTTATAATTGTACCATGTTATTCTGTTTTATATAAACTATAACTATGTTGTGATTATTATCATACATAGTGGTAAGTAATTACAAACAGGGTAATTCATGTTATTTAAAACTATTAACATATACAACAACTATACTCATGTCTTTCTACAACCTATGCTAAATTTAATTTCATTGGTTAAAAATTTAATTTCAATCAGACACCCGTTCAAAATACATATGAAAGCTATGGCTGCATCTGCACCGATTTAAAAAAAACCCAATAATGTCATTCAAGTCTCAATTTGATACCTTGTGCAAAATTTCGTGTTAATCGGACAAACATTAGGAGTTTGGTGCACATGGGAGCTATATCTAAATCTGAACCGATTTCCATTTCGGATATGCATAAATCGACTTAGAAAGTGATTCTGTGTATATACTCAAAAGGAACCATGTGTCTATCTCGTTTCCTTTTGCCTGTTACAAACATATGCACAAAGACTTAATACCATGTGCCACAGTGTAGTGAAGGGTATAAAAAAGTTGGCTTTGCATATACTTCAATGTGGACTGAAAAAGGCCATTTTGGAACGTAACGGTTTAGTTTTGTATCTCGATACCCTCCGAAGGAAGTAATATTACAACAGAAGTACAGACGGACTAACTAATAATGAGTAAATCGTCTTAAAATATAATAGGATATAAACTGACAATTTGGAGTACTATGTGGTATCCAATTCGAACCCAAATTAAAACGAATTTTTATATGTTTAAAAGTGCTTTTAAAAACCTCTAAATATTGAAAAATGAAAAGTACCGCTATATAGTGGATATGCCTAAAGGTGGGCCGAGATTACAACAAGCGGACGTACATTACTACATATTCTTAAATGTTGCCCTTTCTATTTCGATAAGTTACAAACAAAAAAATATTTTTAATTAATTCGGGTAATTTGAATACTATTGTATAATTCGAATGCCCTTTACACACACATTGTGTAAAACATGTTCATATACGAACTTGCCGCATTTGTTCAACCTTTGTGTGTTACAACATACATTCATACCGAAGTAAACATACACAATGAATACCGTGTTCGTCGAGTCTGAAATCTGGATTGTATGAATCAAACGAATATACAACGAATTCGAAACTCTCATACCTGAAGCAATTCATGTTTGTTGTACACTAACTCATTGCACTTCATTTCAAACAAATTTATAGAATAGAAGACACTACTTTGTGTGAGTGACTCATGGGTGGTGTTTTTGTACATTTATGCAGATGTCTAGTACTCATGTGTACGAAAAGTTCTATATGGTACTATATTTGGTACAAATTTGAGGTATAAAATGAGCTTGAATCCTGAAAATTGAAATTAACATTACCGTCGGAGTGTAGGATTGGAATAAGTTCGTAGTTTTGGAAATTGTTTACTTATGTGTACGAAAAGTACTAAATCGTACTATAATTGGTACAATTTGGATTTGGGAGAACCGATAGAGCTGGAACAATGAAATTTGGAGTTAGGATCATTGTTGGGGTGTAGGATTGGTGTATGTAGAAAATGTTGGAAATTCGTATTAATATGAACTATATGATACCAAATTTGCATTTGGGTGAACCAATAGAGCTGGAATCTTGACATTTGGGGGTTTGAAATGAGCTGAGTTAGGAAGTTTTGGAAATTCTTACTAATGTGAACTAAATTTGGTACAATTAAAATTTTGAGTGAACCGATGTAGGAAGTTTTGGAAATTTGTACTAAATTGTACCAAACGTCAATTTGGGGGAACCGCGTTTTGGAAATGCATACTTAATTTATGGAGAACTGATGGAGCTGAGATTGGGCTATGCAAAACGTTTTGGAAATTCGTACAAATGAGTACTACATGGTACCAACTTTGGAGTTAGGTGAACCGACAGAGCTGGAATCTTGACATTTGGATTTAGGATCACTGTATGGGTGTTCGATTGGCGTAAGTATTGCCAAAAAGGACACTACTAGTAGTTCACATAACCGTGCTCGACTGTATTAAAAAACGCATTTATTGACCAACAATTTGATTTTTTTAGATATTTCTTTTGATATTTGTCGTCCATAGTAAAAGATCTTGATATATGTAATCCAAAAAATATATATCTTTGCTCTAAAACATTGGACCAATTATAAACAACTTTTATGTTAACATTTATAATATATTTATTATTTCGATTAAAGAATAGGAATAGCGTATGGCTTAAATGCTAAAGCAATTGGGTTCAGAATCGCATGCGAAACATATATTTAATGTTTACCTGTAGTGTTATTCTGTAACTTTTTAACGACAGATTTACCGACGATTGTCGATAACTGAGAAAATGTTCATGTTTGGTATGTTAACAATCAAAATAAAGAAACCGTTAAACACCACCGAGATTTATGAAGAAGTTCTCATAAGTTATATTTTTTTACATGAAAAATGTGTGCTTTAAATTTACCGATATCTGTCGGTAACACGAAAATAGTTACAGAATTGTCACTACTTGTGAGGTTTTTTTTTTATTAATTCGAGACCCCAAAGCAAATAGGAATAACATAAATACTTAAATAAGTCTTTGATTAGAATTTGTAGTTGAAATTCATGCGGAACATATACTGAATGTTGACCTGAGCAATATCATAAACAATGAATTCATTGTACAACAATGAAGATTTCAATTTGTCATCAGTGATGGGTTTTCCAAGGGGTATTTCAACTCCGTCTTCACGTATATAGGATTCTTTGGGATCTGGCATAGTACGACCACGACCAAAGCAGCTATGTTTGTCTGCTGGTAGTTTTGTAACGTATTTCGCGGCAGTGCACTCCATCATGTCTCCGAGTGCAACTTCGGATAAAAGCATCAAACCAGTGGAATTCTGCTTGCTGGTACAACAGTAGTTCGCTGATTTCGATACCATGTCAGCAAAGTAGATACCTTTGCCAAACATGTAACCCGTTACCGGGGCTTCAGGGGGTGCAATTTTAAGACCATTCGAGAGAATACCGGCGAAATTTGTTAGGCGAGAACCGTGCCATAGGAGTCGGCGATTGTGAAGTTTTTTGAACGGCTTGTATCGACGAGATTCTCCTTGTCGGGCTACCTTGAAAATATCAACAACTTCGAGGTCGTACATATTGTGTGTAGCTGCGTGTGTGTTCTTTACGTATTTTGTAAGCAAAGCATATTCTTCGCTGTCCTTATCCAAAGGTTCCAATTTCGTTTTCAATTGTTCGTAATGTTTATCAATGGGATTAATTTCCTCCTTGGAATCTTCGTTTTGAAGTAAATTATACGCGCATTCAATTTGCAGCAAGGAATCCAACATTTGCACCAATTTCTCCACTTGTTCCTTAGTATCCAATAGAGGAGGTTTCTCTGTACCAAAACTGTGTGGTATCAAAGTGTAGAAACGATTCGTACAGTCAATAAACTTCGCATTGGATCCTCCTTCCTCCATAAGTTTGCATATTTCCGTTAGAACGCTGTAAGCTGTCTTTATTTGTGTTTGACTTAATTTGCCCAAAGGCATTTTTTCCATGTCCAAATCAAATTCCATCATAGTGCGTTTCATTGTATCAACGTCGAACATAAGCTTAATAAGATCTTGGACTGCTTGAGGTAGCTCGGATTTAATGTTATGATCGGCATTCAAATTTATTTTGTCGTTGTCTGAGTAATCAATGTCTATGGGATACATGCCGTTAGGAGTCTGGAATAGTAAGAAAATGCGTTACAATTATGTTAAAGTGCATCAGAATCATGCATATACCTTGACGAAATTAGCTCGATTATCAAAATGATTGCCAGTCTTATCCAAGTAGATTTCCTTAAAAGACTCAATTGCTTCAACCAAATTTGAAAAACTTTCCAATTTGTTTCCTCCAATTGTTGTACCAATCCTTCCCCACGATCGGAATACCCAAAACCTAAAAATCGAATATTATTTACAAATATCGTACATACTTTCTTTCTTGGACCTAGTCTTCTTACTTTTGTTTATTGTCGCTCTCGAGCAGCTGAATTTTATAATAGGAGTTCTTATTGCGTTGTATGTCAGTTTTACCTAATACAACATTGAACTTATCCTTGTTACGCGAGATGTACACGTGGGCAACATCTTCCAAGCCACTGTCCGGATCGACAGCTAGCCCATCTTTCACCTTGAGCGTCATCGATTTAGGTACAGATTTGGTATAAATGCTTTTGGACTTGGCACTCTTTGGCTCCTCTTGCGGAACGCGTGATGCTGGATCAGTGCCCCAGTCACATAAAGTCATGCTGCTTATGTAATTTATGGCACCCGATGGATTGGATTTTACATTGTCAATATATTCGATTGGAATAACATGCAATCCCATTTCCTTCGCTTTTTCCATGCGACTTCCCATACGTTCAACTTCTTTTGCAGTCGAGAAAACAGCAATGGTTTTTTCTGTAATTTTTGAATCGAGTTTACCGCCCAGTTCAGTTAATTCTTTTTTTAAGTCGTTTTCAGAATCCTTTAAACCAATGTGTATAAATTGTAAGTTATATAAAGGTGGACGTTCTCTTTTTACTTTGGGCCTATAAATATAAACGTATATATATTTAATGTGATAATAATTTTTTTCTATGAAGGTAGTCAAAATTTCAAGGAGACATGTACTCAGCTAACTTTATTAGATTTTCAAAGGTTTCAAATAGTTATGAAATATCTATACGAAAAATAATTAGTCGAAAATAAATTATCATTTTGGTATGTTGACCAAACACCTTCAGGTTGTGTTTGCTCTACTGATGACAAATAAAATATCACTCTCATTAAAACAATAAAAAATTTTCTCTCTTCACAACTTTATGGAGTAAATCAACATAAAATTTTTGTTGGTAATAGCAATGATCATTCAAATGAAAGACCAAGGATTAGAGAAATAATATACCAAATTAGTTAAGTAATTGTCTTCTAAATTGTAGTATTATATGTCAAAACTCTTAAAATAAATATTTTTACTTACCCATCAAGTTCATCACCCTTTTTAATGCCAATAGATTTACTTATTGTAGAAGCACTTGGCGGTATGTATCGTATGGCACGAACATCAGTTGTCTTACGAACATCTTTTAAAAATGTATATGCACTTCTCAACTCAGCAGAAATTTTACAAGGTGTTCTTTTCGGTTCTTTAATATTGTAGGTGCACTTGGTCCATTCCGTCAAAGATCCATTACACAAATACCCGGACTTGTGGAATAGTAATTGACAACCTTTACATTCTGGACAAGAATCTATAGCACCAAATGTTAATAGATCGGCTACTTGATCTAGAAGTTTTTCTGAATCTCCTTGCACCGGATCTTGCCCGTTGTCTTGTAATAACTCAATTATGTCCTTTTTGTGCATTTCATCTCTTACACGATCACGGAATTTATACAATCGCTTAGACTGGTCCTTTAATTTTTTCTCCGACTCTCCATCTTCCTCCTTCAGTTTTTCAAGTTTAATTTTTTTCGTTTCCGGCATATCTTCAGATTTGATGGCTCTAAATAGAGTATAAAAATGTATTTAGTATGATTTGTGGTGGTAGCAGAGCTATTTTCATATCAGACAAAGGGCTGAGACTTTAGAACCCACTACCAGGGGAGGAACTATTTTTTTATTATGTGCAGTCGATTCTTTATAATTTAAAAAATGTGAATTTTAATATCTTGAATTCTTTAAGTTTTTCCCGGTCCCGAGAAATACCTCTTTACATATTTACTCGTATAGTTTCGTCAATTTTATGTAATTGAACTGTGTCTATATTCACTATAATTTCAAATTATCGAGTATCAACTGCATTTAAAAATAATTGTAGTTCAAAGAGATAAAGCTGTTGTACTTAAGATATTAGGTAGCTATCTTATAGAAAGATTTTTAACAATAGACCTCTTTGTACATTGTAAAACGTTTTCACTTTTTCAAACTTACGGTAAAGCTTTCTTTACAATTTCTTTGTCTTCGGCCGAAAGACTATTAAACCCAGGTAGGTTTTCGCCTGCAACAAACCAACCCAACTCCCCACGCAATTGTGCAAAACACTCAACATGATGCCACAAAGGTTGACCACCATATTTCATACCAACTTCTGTGTCATAAACAGTCTTGCGAATTCGAATTTGGTCTTTGAGAATTTTTTGTTCACAGCCGCGACAAGCAGCTCTTCCCGACTTTGCGTACTCCAAACCAAAGTCTTTAAGAGCAGAATTTTCTGTCTTTGTACGTTTTGTTCCACCTTTGCTGGATCCTACAGACACCACAACAGATCCACATTCGTCTGCAATATATATTTTTGAATTGGTAACAACATTCGGAAAGTGGTATAAATGTCTTACCAATCTTTTTGCGAATCCTTTCTTGATCTTCAAAACGCAAACTTTCAAAATTCTCAACATCACCAACTGATCCCGGACGTTGTTTCTTAAAAAAGCAAGATTCGTGGTACCAATTCGGCTGTTTTCCATCATGAAACGCAGACTGAAATAAAAAATAATGTAATTATACATAAATTCATCAAACGGTTAAAAAATATGTTTTCGAAAATTAATTTGTGTAGTCGTCGACGATTTCTTAGATTTTCGCATGGTCAGCAGAAACGTGGTCCATAAAAGCAAGAGAGGCTAGAGAAGGCTGCATTCCTTTGAAATGTGGATATATCGAAGGATCTTGAAAATACCCTGCACTCATCACATCATAAACAATGAAGTAATGAGGCGAATGATTACAGAATCTTAATATATAAAAGAGCTTAGGGTTAAGTGAGTGAGTGATTGACAGATTATCGCCCAGTCGAAACGGCTGAAGCTAGAAGCTTGCAATTTTGGGTGTGGCTTGCAGTTGGTGTAAACGGATAGAGATGAAAAACTTAAATTTAGAATGAAAATTACAAAATTAAAGTAGTATTGGAATTACGTACTTATGTATACGAGAATCACTAAATGGTACTAAATATGGTACAATTCGTTTTGTGTGAGCGGGAATTCTAACATTTGGAATTAAAATTAAATTTGGATGACCAATGGAGGTATTTTTGAAAATGCGTAATTATGTGTACTAAATCGTACTAAGTTTAGTACAATTTAGATTTGAGTGAAAGGATAGAGATGGAAAACTTATATTTGAAAATAAAATTACTGTTATAGCACAGGATTGAGACAAGTATGAAAAGTACTGAATAGTACTAAATATGGTACAATTTGGGAATCTCGAAAACACTGTAGGTTTGATGTTGTTTAAAAAATTCTTACTTATGAGTATGAAAAGTACTAAATTTAATACAATGTGGATTTGGGTGAATAGATAGATCTGGAATCTTGAGGAACATAGATTATTATTTAGGTGTAGGATTGAGCTATGGAAATTCGAGTTTATGTGTACGAATAATACTAAATGCACTAATTTTGGAACTATTTTCATTTGAGTAACAGAGAGAGTAGACCAAATCTGGTACAATTTAGTGAACAGACAGAGCTGGAGTTTTTAAATTTGAACTTACGATTACTATGTGATAGCAGGATTGGAATATTGAGGTTGGTTTGAAATATGGGTACGAAAAGTACAGAATGGTACAAAATCTGATTTGGACTTACGATTACTATTTGAAAGCAAAATTGAGGTACATTTGGATATTCGTACGAAAAGTACTAAATTTGGTACAATTTGAACTTTGGTGGAATTAAGATTACTGTTAGAGTGTAGGATTGATGTTGTTTTAAAAATTTGTACCTATGAGTATGAAAAGTATTATTTAGATTTGGTTGAATTCTTAGATTTGGAATTTAGATTAGTTGAAGTGTAGTATTGAGCTATGTAGGCAACTTTGAAAACTCGAATTTATGTATACAAATAGAAAATGCATTAAATTTGGATTACATTTTATGAAATTTCCATATAAAATAAGGTTCTGATTCCCAGAATATATTTTTATACATTGACACTTCCGACTTTCACTTACACGACTTTCAGGAACAAAATCAAAATTTAAATGTTAAATAAATCAAAAACAATTACATTTTTTACAATTCTCCCTACAATTCTTTTTTTGTAGAATTTTGGGAGTACTATCAGTGGTAAAAAAATTTTGAGAGCCTCCGGTTTTTAACTTTTAAGATAAAAGCAAAGAGCGGTCACTCACGCGACTTCAAATATACATGACTTTAGACATCAGTGCTAACAATGTGAAAACGCTGCGAATTGTGTGAATATTTTGAACTTTTAATATTCTTTACATGAATAAGAGATATCAAGCATTAGTATTGCACTTTCAAAATTTGGTATACCCTTTATTTGCGGAGGGTTTTTGTCGGTCACTCACGCGACATTTTTGATTTTGCAGTTTTTATTTTGGCAGTGTATGCATTTATAAAATTAAATTAGTATTTATGCTAAGAACAAGAAGAACAAATTACAAATGTGGTCTTTCTTTATATTTTTTCCGTTGCTTCGCGCATTTAAGCACAACTAAAGAAACAAATTCTCCGACTTTGGTTTACCTTTTGCCGGAAATCCTATGGGCATTTCAATAATTATATTTTTAAATTCGTTTCGGTAGTCTTATTGGAATTGCACGAATATTATTTAAACTGTGGTAGGTTAGGTTAGGGATGTACGGCTGTTATAACAACCGTCCACTCGGAAACTATGTCCATTGTGATCATCCTTTATGTATAGGTATACCTATAAAGAGAAGAAAAAAGATAGTGGAAGAGTAGAGAGAGAAATAGTGAGAAAAAGGGAGCGAAGAGACATTATTTTAGCCAAGTCAATTTTTTGACAAAGCCTAGAATTTGGTTAGGGTATATTTTTTAGAAGAAGACTATATTATCAATTTCATAACATCCAAACTGTTTATGTCTTCTGCTGATCAGCGATGGACATTTGCAGAGGATGTGCTCAATTGTTTCCACTTCTTCTTCGTCCTCACATAGACGACAGTAATCCTCTCCACTTAGAAGTGAGAGTTCTAACTTTGCAGTGACCAGTAATGATCCCCACAACGATTTTGATCTCCCTCTTGCTGTGACCCAGCAGCGAAGACGTTCTTTTACGAGAGAATTCTGGCCAGATAGATTTAGAGATTCTGCAAGCAGGTTCCCTCAGCCATCTGTTGCCGACTACCTCGCAATGGAACGCGCGGATTCTGCCAATGAAACTGTGGTAGGTAATACAATATTTGACTATTTAGCTATATATTGAACAGTATCCTGTTACTGTTATATAGATTTTTATCAAACATTGTGTGAACAATTATAAAAGTGCCAGAACCTAAAAATAGTTATTTGCTTAACCTTTTCAAAGCTGCTGCATTAATATTTTAAATGATCAAACTGGCAGTTTAGAAAGATATTTAAAGACGTGGCACCAAAATGTGTAAATAAACTATTGACACAAACAAGTTTAAATCCAAAGAAGAAGGTAAGTAACACAATACAAACTTCAAATTAATCACCTTTTATTTTTAGATTCCACACCAGTCTATACAAGCAAAGCGTCTGCAAAAATCATTCTCCTATTGTTTGCAAATTTTGATCCTACAAGGTATACCTAAAATTCTGCGAATCTTACTAAATTTGAAGCCGATGTCGTAATTTATGAGCGACCGCAAAGTTTACCGCCAATATTGGAATTCTCAGAAGAACATTATTAGTGGCGTAGCTAATATTAGCAGTGTCTGTCTTAAGATAATAGATTCTTGCAGTAAATGATTTTCCTAAAGAAGTTCATGTGGAGGTATCCCATACATGACCTACATATATGTTTTGTTTCTTCAGAAATTGTCTTCTTTAATTTTATTTTTTCCGGCGAATTCAAGAAAAACAAATTGTTGTGACATATAATATTACCACCATCTGGCTTGATACGGTTACCTTATTAATATACCTTGTTCATAAGGTTAACAAGGAGGCGAATTCGTCTGACTGTCAAATTTATTGTTTGAAGAATAAATAAATAAATAATAATTTTATTTGAATCATAATATATGTGCACATTACTATCATTACGTTTTTTTTGAAAGATATTTTGAGTTTTTATCCTGTTCTGGTTGGTATTTCGCAACCAGCAAGGGAAGACTGAGGTATGAATTCGCCTGCCTGTTAACCTTATGAATGAACCTTGGCAACCTTTTTTAATTTGGAACTCATCTATCATCAATTGCAAATTGTTTGAAAAATAAATTCCATAATTTTTAAGATGAACAATTTTATTCTTTTATATCTACATGCTATGTACAGACATACTTATTTTGTAATCCGGACTTACGGTCAAAAAAAAATGTAATAATTTTCAAAATTTTTTGATCCATATTGTTCTTAAGCTATATCTACAGATGCTACAACTTATATTTATAGATTATAGGCTCATATTAAGGACGATATTGATACATTAGTACACAACACAGTAGATACTGTTACAACATTTTCAACGGATTTTTCTAGAAAAAAATAACATAGATACAGGTTTGTTTTTAGACACACATTTACCCGGTAAAACAGTTGATGAAATTAGGGCTGTTTATTTGGAGATTCCAAAATCAATTCTTTTAAATTACAGGGGTTTTCCAGTTTTCAAGGAATATTTAAAGAATCAGGAGAATATTAGGTCTGCAGCCAGGGAAAAAAAGATTATTGCTCATAACCATGTTTCTAGGGCAATGAATAGTTTTAACGTTGTTAGTCCTAATCGACTATATGCTGACTGTTTAGTAGATTCTACTCAAATTAGACGTAAACCTGCCATAATTGAAGAATTTATAAAAATGCTAGAGATATTTGCCATCCAGAAGTTGTGTCCATAGAAATTAGGATAGAGCTGTTTCTTAATAAAGAACAGACAAAAAGTCAAACCCAATTTTATTTTAATTGGGGTATTACTATTAAACCTTCTAACACCGTGGTCATTTGTTTGGAAATGTAGAAATTTTGTAGTTCCGGAATGTAAAACCTTAAAACTGATTATTAATATGGCTGAAATTTCAATAGACTGTAGATTACATTTAATAACCTACAAAAATGTAATAAACAAGCATTTTCTAGAATTATAGTAAATAAAGATCTTTCAGCATAAACTAAGTTACTTTTATACAAAACCAGTATAGGACCGGTATTATTTTAGATCGAAAGGTTTTACGACGCTGTATTGGTAAATATTTTGAAGAAAGCTATAAACGGTATTCTAACAGGGTAATATATGGTGAGTCCAAAATTACTCCTGTTGGGTTATATGTGTGCAACTTAATTTAAAAATTTGTTAATCGTTTTAGAGATCATGAAAATAGTTATGTATCAGTTGTTTATGACAATCAGAAAACATGTAGCTGGACTAATTGTAACTATCTTTCCCCAAACGGTTATTTGAATGAAGTCCCACCGAATTTTGATGTCAATACCAACATTCGGTATACATTTTATGATAAAACTGTTCATAGTGCGCACAGGGTAGCGTGATGGCTGCAATTTTTTGTTTGTTTTTATTTTTTT